TGTTGAATAAACACTCACGTATCTCTACATACATACATATTTTACAGGTAGGATGTGAAAACAAAGTGTTTCAAACAAAATTTAATGTTATTCTTGTTAAGGATACATCGAAAATCATGCCGAAACAAAGGAAATACAACGCTTCTTGAGCAATAAAATCGAACTTTTTTGACAAAAAAATGTTTTTGTTAGTTTGTATTTAGTTGAAAGAGAAAATATATCGATATAGTGAGTTATCAGAAATGTATTACGCAATTGATTTTATTCTTATCGAAAGTGGGTGAGCGGCTGTGAGTATTCCTTCTTCAATGACGCCCACACCCACCCTGAAGACTGCCGACTCCGATGTGATATCGTCCATGCCTATTTATTAGTCCGTTTTGTCCATCACGTTTTTATTATTTACAGAGTTGCTCTCTGTACGCGCGTGCGAGTCACTATAAATTAGAACCAATTCAAAAATAAGAGAACAAAATCTTATTCCATTTATTTATCAACTATTCTTTATAATTTCTTTTTTTACAAATTCAATGCTCTTTTTCACATCTTTAACATCAGGATGAGTTGCAGGTAATGCACGCTGATATATATTCAAGGTACGTTCAAAATATGATAGTGCTTTCGAATAGTCTTTCATACTATAATACAAATCAGCGCAGTAGTTGTACGAATTAGCCAAATCAAGATGATTTAAAGAAAGAGTTTTTTCTCGAATTTTCAACGCTTTTTCGTGATATGAAAGTGCTTGCGAGTACTCTCCCTTGTGCTTATAGACACTACCGATGTTGCTGTATGAAGTAGCCAAATCAGGATGATCTGAAGAAAGAGTTTTCTGTCGAATTTCAAGTGCTTTTTCGTGATATGAAAGTGCTTTTGAGTGCTCTCCCATGTGCTTATAAACACTACCGATGTTGTTGTATAAAGTAGCCAAATCAGGATGATCTGAAGAAAGAGTTTGTTGCTCAATTTCAAGTGCCTTTTCGTAAAGTGAAAGTGCTTTTGAGTACTCTCGCATGTGTTCGTACAGCCAACCGATGTTGTTATAAGAAATAGCCATATCAGGATGATTTGAAGAAAGAGTTTTTTGTTGAATTTCAAATGCTTTTTCGTGATATGAAAGTGCTTTTGAGTACTCTCCCATGTGCTTATACACACTACCGATGTTGTTGTATGAAGTAACCAACTCAGGGTGATTTGAAGAAAGAGTTTTTTGTTGAATTTCAAGTGCTTTTTCGTGATATGAAAGTGCTTTCGACTGCTCTCCTATGTTGTCATACACACTACCAATGTTGTTGTAAGAAGTAACCAAATTGGGATGATTTGGAGGAAGAGTTCTTTGATAAATTTCAAGTGCTTTTTCGTAAAGTGAAAGTGCTCTTGAGTACTCTCTCATGTGTTCGTACAGCCAACCGATGTTGTTGTATAAAGTAGCCAATGTAGGATGATTTGGAGGAAGCGTTCTTTGATAAATTTCAAGTGCTTTTTCGAAAAGTAAAAGTGCTCTTGAATACTCTCTCATGTTCATGTACACCAAACCGATGTTGTTGTATGAAGTAGCCAACTCAGGGTGATTTGAAGAAAGAGTTTTTTGTTCAATTTCAAGTGCTTTTTCGTGATATGAAAGTGCTCTTGAGTACTCTCCCATGTTGTCATACGCCAAACCAATGTTGTTGTGTGAAATAGCCAATGAAGGATGATTTGGCGGAAGCGTTTTTTGTTGAATTTTGAGTGCTTTTTCGAAAAGTGAAAGTGCTGTTGAGTACTCTCGCATGTGCTCGTACACACTACCGATGTTGTTGTATGAAGTAGCCAATTCAGGGTGATTTGAAGAAAGAGTTTTTTGTTGAATTTCAAGTGCTTTTTCGTGATATGAAAGTGCTTTCGACTGCTCTCCTATGTTGTCATACACACTACCAATGTTGTTGTAAGAAGTAACCAAATGAGGGTTATTTGGAGGAAGAGTTTTTTGTTGAATTTCAAGTGCTTTTTTGTAAAGTGAAAGTGCTTTTGAGTACTCTCCCAACTTGTTATACACCAAACCAATATTGTTGTGTAAAACAGCGAATGATGGATGTTTTGAGGGAAGAGTTTTTTGATAGATTTCAAGTGCTTTGTCGTAGTGCCAAATGGCTTTTTGATAATCACTTTGATTATCATAGATATGTCCCAGTTGATTATAATAAAGCGCTTTTTCACTCTCATCAGATGTCTGTTCCAGTAATACGTTATAAAATTCTTCAGCCTTTTTAAATTGACCAATTGTAAGCAATAGTTCACTCAATCTGTGCCATCCGGTACCACCAGCTTCTTCTCGTATTCGATCAGTAAGTAATCGTAGTTGTGGATCATCATCCGACGTTAATTGTAATTCAACTTGATAAAGTTGATTCTTATTATCGATTTGTGTAATTGCACTCACTCGAAAGACGGTGTGCATTGAGAAGAGAATTTCTTCTTCTTCGTGAAAATAACTCATTTCTTTGATGAAAGCAAATGGTGCTGATTCAATATAAGGGTCAATGGACATTACAAAAAGAATGCCCATTGTATCCAGTTTTGTTGAAGCACTTTGAGCAAAACCAAGGGACACATCTTTATCTTTACTGGTGGACAAGAAACTGTTAAATGACATAAGTCCACCTTTTGTTTTCTGAAGTTTTTTAAAATCTGATTTCATAAAACCTTGTCCTCGATAAACTAAAAAAGGTTTTGTTTCATAACTATCGACTTGTTGCTCGTATAACTGTTTAATTTGTTGATGTACATCACGTAGAAAAAAACCCATTGTAATAATTATATCGGCTTCCATTGTTCGAAGACCATAATTGAGCATAGAATAGATATCGGATGGGTAAGTATACCACCAAATAGCTAATTGAGAACTGTATTCTTTCTCAAAACGGTCAATACTGATTCGTGATACGCTGTTAGAATTTCGACAATAGGTAGTAAACTGTTTGATGGCCTGTTCCCCATGATCCATATCAAGGAGAATTTCTTTGAATAGCTGGGTATACATAAATGTTGGCTCCAACTGATTGAAATTATCAGTTGAAGCCATTTCATCGATCGTGATAAAACTTATAGCTATTGAGTCTTGATTTAACTGCTTGATACCGATTTGTAATGCTTGACATAGATCATCGATGTTGGTATGAATGCTCTTGATTTTTTGCCATTTTTTTGCCCATTCTTCTTGTAGGATTTCAATATCACTGACGATATAAATACCATCCAGCTGAGGAATATCATTGATGAGGGGCATTATTTGTTGAAACATAGTATCCTTGACAACGAGAAAAAACTTCATGTCTTCTTGAGAATCTGTAAGAAAGTCGGTGCATGCATCGAGTTGCGTAAAGACATTGACATCACCAGTAATAGCTTGTATTTGTTTTACTGTATTTTCATAATCTTCGGTTTTTTGGTCGATGCTGGTATCCACCCATAGAAAAAGGTAGTTTTGTGCCATACGTTGTCGTGGTTGACGAATATTTGGCGATGCGATATATTTGGATGATGCAACAGCGTTTTCATTTGATTTGAATCCACTCATTTTGATCCTATTGTATATTTTTTGTTGAAGGTGAACTTGTCAGTGGATGTTGTTGTTTGAATGAAAAGAATAATCACCGTTTTTTTATATACGCAGTGACTTGTTTATTCTTGATTTTTCGATGTTGCTCAAGGACAAATTTCACTTAGTTAGTTTTGAAAATAATATTGTACAGAGCAAGAAGCAGGACAAAGCAAACACATTTATTGGTAACATTATCGAAAGAACGAATAAAACAGAAGCCAACAGTCGAATAAAGGTAGAAAGAGAACTACAATTCTGTCACGGAATTAGTTTTTCTTTTACACTCTTCGTCAGATGTCATATTAATGTTTGATGAATGTATGAAATTTATTATGACGAACCTAATGAAACAAGCTTTGTGAAATTTTGTACATAGAGCATGCTTTATCAAATGATATATTATTTGAAGTTAGACAAAGTTTCTCTGTGAGGTATTCAGATGCAAGCTTGATGTCGCATTAAAAAAAACTAATTTGTGAAATGATTTCTTTATCAAGTTATGTACTGTTTTATTTTTTTTGTATAATAAAACCACTATTTCAATACAACATAGATGACTTTGTTGTAATAAGCAGTATATATATATATGGCAACATCTTTAGGCTCTTGAATTTTTATATCTATCAAATACTCTAACCTCAAAAAAACTTATATTAAAAAAAGAATTTATGCAAAACTTTTGCACTATTCGTATTTATTCGATGAATATTGATTTTAGTTGATACAACAGAAGTTGAAAAAAAGTATGGCAAAAATCTTGAAGTAGTATACATGCATGCACTACTAGGCTTATGTTCATTATAAATCATATTACATGAAAAACTATAAACAAGAATGTTATCAATAGTATCGACATAAGATGGAAATAATATCTTTTTGTTTAAAGCTAAAAATAAAAAGTCATTATTATAAATAGTCGTATGATTTCTTTTGATTTGAATTCGGTAGGCGAAAAGAAAGTTTGTTGATGATTTATCGTTACCTATTCTGCGACGAATAATTTTATATTTTTTTGGCTTCGTATAAAAATTGAAACATAAAAAGCAAGAGAGATCGATAAAAAAAAGTACATTAACAACGAAACAAACAAGCGTTACTGCAGTTTTATTATTATTGCCATCCCATATTCGTTCTTACATGTATAGTCATTTGTGAGAATGAAGAAAGAGAGTGTGTGTAAATAAACGAATTTGAAAAGAAAAACCAAGCTATACATTTTCTCCCGTTCTCACTGTCAGTGGCATTACTTTCATTGAACAGATAAGTTCAACGTATGAAATGCTAGATGACAAATAGTTGGATGATGTACAAAGTTTATGTTACAAAAATATTTGGGTGTGGGTAAGGGTGAGGGTGTACGTGGGTGTGGGTGTGGATAACGACAGATATTTTACTCTCACACCCACGCTCATCCCACACCGACACCTACGGTCAAACTACTCCTATTACTTAACGTACTTATCCTATCCTAAAAGAAAAATAACTCTCGTGGATTCCAAAAGATAGCATTGATGCAAATCAGTAAAACACTTTTCGTGGAAAAGCTTTCACCGAAAAAACAATCACAAAAAGGGTTTAATGATAAGGTTATTTTGCTATTGTGCATTTCGCGCATGGTTTTCGCTGAAAGAGTCGTTTCCTTTGCATGTTTGAGAATAGGGTAAGATTGCGCCTAGTTACCGTTATCATGATTCGTCTTCACTATAGGATTCTTCAGACGAGTGTGTGGGTGCCAGGTGATGGCAATACCCACAGCCTTGTGGATCACCCCAACCATCTCGTAAAACCAAGATGATCTCTTCGTACATTTCCTTTTCAGTCAAATATTTTGTACAAAATTTTTCGTTGAGAGTTTGAATATGTGCGTCACGTTTTGTGCACAAGATGTTCATATTGAATATAGAATTGTTTAAATGTGACATTTACCTTTATGTTTGTTGGTTTTGCCACAGCTCTTCTCATTTTATAGACTTAAATGCTGGGTTTTTTCCTTTTTTGTTTTGCTCGTTCTTTTTCTTGCTTGCTATAGAGCTCGATGCTGATATTATTTATTTTAAATTTTATAAGATGAAATCGGAACAATGATACATTTAATGCTGCTAGGGGAATTTTTAATTACTCTAGATTTTAATTTCCCCAGTAACGTATACATCATAGAATATTCATCAAAGACAAAAAATCCTCTCCGCTTTTTCTATTTCCTGTTTCAGTCAATACATTGAAATATTTTTAGCTAAGAAAATTAATTCTCTTTTACGTCAGTAAATTGTGATGCGAAAGTAATAACAGGAAAGAGTTATAATTTACATTAGACATTGTTGTTTTTATAATTAGAAAAATTCATGTGATAGCATAACAGATTGTATTTCAAAAATAATTATCTTTACTAATAATAAATGAACTGCAAGTTCTTACTAAATATGAGAACATTTAGATATTGCTGTTTGTCTAGGATACTTTTTGTCTTTATTGGTTTTATAATATTCACATGGAAGGAAAAACATATTTCATTAATACATAGAAGTCATGGGTACCGCACTCTCAAATTTCTAGGGAAAGCAATACATTTTTTGAGTGAGTAATAAAAAATGTTTTCTCATTTCACTACTTCAACATAACAATTTATTTATTTTCTTTCTTTGTTTTCTAACACAAACTCATTTGCAATAGTATCTAAATTAATATCAAAACTATGTTCACTGTTTATTAAAAATTAACTGATTCACATACATTTATTGGAATTGTCCATAATATCGTAAGTAGATGATTTATCATAGTAAGTGATAGATGTAAATTATTTTCTACGAAAAATGTTGTTGTTCATGTTAATGCTATTTGCTCTCTTTTACCGAGTGCACTTTATACATACATTGCTTATGAGGGCGCTATCCGAAGTGATTAAGAGCTTTTTATCTGACATTTTGGACATAAGTAAGACCTGGTAAGACTCGAAAAAGTCTAAAAGGATAAGAGCCCATAGAGGTTTCTTGCCGAGTTACGTTGATTTTACTAAATGTTTTACTTATGACAAGAAATTCATGGAAAAATCAAACTACAGAATTTTGATTTGAGATTTTGTTCATATGTCGGTATTACGACTCTTATCGTAGCCTAAAAGTCGATTTTTTTGATATGTGTGTAGCATAAGTGAGTTTTATTGGAAGCTAAATATTCTGTGAAAGAAACATTCGTTTTGGTTGAGACTTTTAGGCTACGACAAAGGTCATAATACCTACATGTGGACAGAATTTCAGATCGAAACTCGATAATTTGATTTTTTCATGAATTTCTTGTCATAAGTGAAAAATTCAGTAAAATGAACATAACTCGGCAAGGAACGTCTACGGAGCCTTATCATTTTAGGCTTTTTCTAGTCTTATTTGGTCTTACTTATGTCCAAAATATCAGACGAAAAGCTCTTAATCACCTCGAGTACATCCCTCGTGAGAACCCTCATATAATAGATGTAGTCTAATATGAGATCTGATTAGCAATATATTGAAGAAAAGTGAAAAAGAGTTTGATTGTTGCCTTTTATACTTTTGGACTACACTCTATAACATCATTTAAGTACAAAATGATAAGTTGCTTTTACTTTTATTGATGTCAAATATAGAACAATGTTTTATAAGGCTCTTACTTAATTACATTTCTCCAATGTACATATCACATCTTACAATCTTTATGCAAATTTTCATAAAAACTTAAGATTTTCTATGTGATATTTTTCACGATGCATGTAATATAATATATTTTATAAGCGATAATTTGTGATAAATATATGTGATCAATGGAGAATACCTGGTAGAATTTAGATTCTTACAATAAATTATGTTGATACTAATAAAAAAATGTATATAAACTCATTATTCAGATTGAATAGATAAAACTTATATGCTATACAAAAAATATATGACATATTTATGATTAGACAGCTTAATGTCATTCTATCTTTTCTTTAGTTTTATTTGAAGTATTAAATTATTAACAGATCTCAGCATCTATAAAAAGAATAAACATCATTTTCATTTCCCATTAAAGTTCCATGCATTAACTTCTAGTGAAAATTCGATATGTATGCAAGTATAAGAATTAATTTTTTGATAAAAATTTATAGTACTTTGAAGAAGGTGAGATCCATGTCTCTCCGCTTTATTTTTATTTTTACTGAATATTGCAGTTGACGTTCAGTTATTCAATGCATCAAACATTCTCAATAGAGTTTTGGCTCGTTAACAAGAAAGACAAAGAAATGCTTTCGTTCCACAATTAGATTTATTTAGTTATTAGAGAGTAGCAATCTTTGATTTATTGATTTTTCATAGGATCTTATAAATTAACCGATAACAAATTAACAAAAGCGAGAATTGTATCACAGCTAAAACAATTTAAGTAGTCAGAAACTTCTTTTACGAAGACGGCACTCCACGATATTTTTCTATCCGGCGGCTGCATAAAGGTATCTATGAAATGAGCTAAGAAGGCTTTTCATCGACTTTCTTGCTAATAATTTAGAGTACTTCACCGAAGTGAATAAGTGCAATTTTAAAGGATACAAAAATGACCTTTTTTTAATCATGTAAAAAGAACATTTACAATAAATTATATTCTTTTCAGATGATATAATCGTATTTTCAACAACAAAAGATTAAAATGACTTCAACATTTATTGCATCACTTGATTTTGCTAAAAAAGAAATAGTTATTTATTTTGTTATTCCCATGTTTATCATGAGTATTATTGGTGGATGTCTTAATCTTATTGTTTTTCTCAGCCTGAAAACATTTCGACAAAGTTCATGTGCATTTTATTTAACTATTAAATCAGCTTATGACCTTAGTCGAACCATCGGAAATATGTTGCCTTATATCATGCGTTGGGGATTTCAAACAGATTGGGGATTACCATCATTGTTCTTTTGTAAAATAAGAAATAGCATGTCTACTGTATTCCAATCAAGTTCAATGACATGTTTATGCTTAGCTGTTATTGATCAATATTTTGCTACTTGTTCTCATGTTCATTGGCACAAATACTGTAATATTAAATTAGCTCGCCGTCTTACTGCAATATTTACCATTATTTGGATTTTACAGGGAATTCCATATGTTGTCTTTTATAATCATATTAGTTCACCTTCAACAAATACAACTGCATGTGAAATCACGGGACAAAGACAAAACGTACTAGGCATCCCGAACACCTGGTAATTTGTCTAGGTGTTCAGATTCGACTTTTTTTTTTGCCATTTTTACCGGGAGTCCGTAAAAAAAGTTTATTAGGCGACTATAATTTTAAAAAAAACAGGGAAATCGAAACGAAGTGGTCGACTATATGTAAATTAATACTGTCAGTAAATCGGGATGGAAATGACCGGGTGTCCGTAAACTCATTTTACCTGGAGATCGTAAATATATTATAATACTTATAGAGAGCACTAATCTTAAGGAGAATGTAAATATTAGAGTGAGGGCGTGGGAAAAAGTATTATGTAACCACTCCCACAAATGGTAAAGCAATGAAAGCTAAGAGTCGTGGTACAACAAATAAACGGATGAAAAAATAACATTCCGTTTCTTTGCACATGTCACTTTTTTTTATGATAGAAATCCCTATTCTTTATCAACATTAAAGCAAATGTCTCTATTCTTTTCTATGATTTAGTTTTCTATTTTTTGTACTTTGTTTGATTATCTATGCTATTTCTTGTGCTTTTTTCTGAGTTGAAAAAGATTTATTGTATTCATGAGAACATTGTTTTGTTCATTATCTTAAAATACAAGCTACTGAGTCGTTTAAAATCTCTCAAAAAAAGTGCGCACACGAACATAGTTACGAACATCCTGCCTCTTTTCATTACGATCTGCATATTTTCATTGTTACGATCTTCCGGTTACTTTCATCCCGAACACCCTGCTTATTTTTTGAATTTTTGACATTCCGAAGATTATGCATGTTTTCGTATGTCGGGAAGTCGGGACGAACATCTCTTCAGGGAAATCGTAAAAAAAAGTTGGTGCGTTTTGTCTCTTTCCCGAAATCACAAATGAGAAATTTAGTGAGTATCTAATTTATGGTTATTATTTTACTATTTCAAATTTGTTACCATTCATATCAATTATAATTGGATTCATGGCTTATTATAATGCGCGACATTTAACTCATCGAACAGTTCCTCTTATCCGACATGAATTAGACAAACAATTAACAATAATGGTTCTTGTTCAAGTTCTCATTAATTTCTGCACTGTATTACCATTCGGCATTACCTATATGTTTTCAAAAATTACTGCAACATCGAGTGATCCTGTATTTCAAGCTAAAGTTAGTTTGGCATCGTCTATCACTTTAAATTTTTCTATTTTGAGTTATGCGGTAAGAATTTTACCGATAATTGTCCATTCCATAACATACTAATATCCTTTAACTTTTGTTTTTTCTGTATAATTCTAGAGTCCATTTTACACATATATTTGTGTATCACAACGATTTCGTCAACAATTAAAGTATGTTTTGTTCGAAATGCATATCAAACGATATTGGCAGAAAAGAATAATTCATAATCAAATAGCAGTGGAGATCACGACAAACGTTTAATCACGAATCTCTTAATAAATATATTATTTGATGTTGTAAAGTATTTTATAAATGCAAACATTATTTGAAGTAAATTGACAACAGATATTTCTTTCATTAAAGTATAAAAAGATATGTCTGTTATCAATCTACTTAAATGTTATTTTTGTATACTTTTTACTTACGTGTTATATTTTTTTTAGATATGCATCGTTTACTCAAAATATTATTGCTTTTATCTCTAAGATTTGTATTCAAAATAAATATCTTCATTTGTAAATTAATACTGCCCTTTATGAATCAAATTAAGGCATTCCATAGGAGAATATGCAATTACTATCAATTTGTTATTATTTCGATGGCAACAAAATACAAAACAGTTCATTCTTATACTTATCTACTGTTTAGTAGTTGTGGAATTATAAATGGCATAGTCGAATTCTGCTAGCTAATATATATATTTTAGTAAGAATAAGTAAAACATGCAGTCAATTTGCAAAACTAACTCGACTGCAGAGTACGCAATAATGAGTAAATTGAGGGTGGGTGTGGGTGTGTGTTTATCTTTTATTTATCCACACCCTTTTGTTGAATTGAACAAAACCCAGTTGTTTCTTTTTAGTTATATTCCCCAATAATTAACTGTCAAAAAGGTTTTTCCCTCTATTTGCCTACATAATGATGTCAATAGGAACTTTCTTTTTTATTAAAATATTTGCAACAAATACAACGTTTGAAATTATCAATAAATAAAAATAATGAATCCATTTGCTTTTTCAAAACTTATATGAAATATCACGTATTATTTACTGTAAATATAAAAGAAAGTTCGTGATATTAAAATTTTGCAGGTAGGATGTGAAAACAAAGTATTCCAAACAAAATTTAATGTTATTCTTGTTAAAGATATATCGAATATCATGCCTTAACCAAGGAAATACAACGCTGTCTGAACAATAAAATCGAACTTTTTTTGACAACAAAATGTTTTTGTTATTTTATATTTAGTTGAAAGAGAAAATAAACCGATATTGTGTGTTGCTAGAAATGTATTGCGTAATTGATTTTATTCTTATTATGGATGGGTGAGTGTGAATCTTCCTTCTTCAATAACACCCTCACCCACCCTGAAGACTGCCGATTCCGATGTGATATCGTCCATGCCTATTTATTAGTCGGCTTTGTCCATCACGTTTTTATTATTTACAGAGTTGCTCTCTGTACGCGCGTGCGAGTCACTATAAATTAAAACTAATTCAAAAATAAGAGAACAAAACCTTATTTCATTTATTTATTAACTATTCTTTATAAGTTCTTTCTTACAATTTCAATGCTCCTTTTCACATCTTCAATATCAGGATGAGTTACAGGTAATGTACGCTGATATATGTCCACGGCACGTTCAAAATATGATAGTGCTTTCGAATGGTCTTTCATACTACAATATAAATCAGCGCAGTTGTTGTACGAATTAGCCAAATCAAGATGATTTGAAGAAAGACTTTTTTCTCGAATTTCCAACGCTTTTTCGTAATATGAAAGTGCTTGCGAGTACTCTCCCTTGTGCTTATACACACTACCGATGTTGCTGTATGAAGTAGCCAAATCAGGATCATTTGAAGAAAGAGTTTTTTGTTGAATTTCAAGTGCTTTGTCGTGATATGAAAGTGCTTTCGAGTACTCTCCCATGTGCTTATAAAC